TAATTATATTTTTATTATTCATGTTATTATTTAAAAATGAATTATTTACAGTATTGTGGAAATTAATTTGCTATATACCAGACTATGTCTGGGACCCATCGTCTCATAATCCGAATGTTGTTCGTACAACAAACTTTACATTGCCGGGTAATTTCTAATATGGTCCAATGTCAATTGCAGTAATTAGCATATTTGCTATCAGACCAGCTCTTATCCATTAAAATATTTCATGTTTCTGTGTTTTCTTACTACAAAACCTGTTCGCACTACGAAATGTGTTAAGCCGGCTCTGCACCTGCGAAATCTCGAAAGCTCGCGACAACTGCGAATCACAAGTATACATATTGTTGGCGCTTCGCGTTCGCACTTTGCTTCGTTCCCCGATCAGTGTCGGTTTGTTAGCCCGCGACAAAGGGTTTGCGGTGTGCAAACGAGAACACATCTATATTAACAGCACTCCTTGTAATTTTATTGTTGTTTAAATATAAACAGCAGCAAGTTATCACGTCGTCGTCGATGGCAGCCGCGAACAAGACTGTGAAGCCTTGTGAATGTGTGAGGACACAGTTCACGCGCGTATCACGTACATTATTCATGGCGCGAATTCGCAGCGTGAAGTCACGCGCAAGTGTAGCGTAAAAGAATCGGGATATAAATCCTCGTGAATTATATTTCACATTGCGGACAGACGCTTGATCTTAGTAAAGTAACAATTTTCGATAATAATTTAAGTAATATTTTAAATCGTTTTACTAAATCTAATTGAAAGTTTAAAAATTGTCGTTCCTAGAGTGTAAGCATAATATGTGTGTAGCAATTTGGATGTAAAATCTGCATTTGATTGTAACGTTAAAGAAGTTAAAGTTTCTTCGCATGATATCTTAACATACTAACCATAAGTAGTTGCTTTCATATATTGTAATATTCGTCTAGCCGTGTTATCTTAGTGTAAATTATTCTTCCAATCTTTTTCCAAAATAATTCATTTAGAATCATCTTCAATGGCGTCATTTATGTACTCTGTTTTGATCCTTCACCATTAATTAAGAAGTCATGCAACACAACGTGCTTTAGCACCGCATCATAAATGGATTTAATAATATAAATCATTATTATATCATAGATCATAAAATGAATCTAAGTATTATCGTAAAAAATAACAAAGCTTTTCTTCAACACTAAATCATATCTAGAGGTATGTCTTATTAATAAAACAAATATCAAAATATGTAAGAAAACTAAAAAAAAACTGGTGTAATTGGTTTTAGTGATGCAACTAACAATACACTTACTGTAAGCCATGCCCAATCAACGTTGACACACATGGATAAATCAATTGGACAGGCCAATAACTCAAAATCAATATGATGCAGGGATTGCCGTGTTTAAAAAAAGCAATGTTTTAGAGTAAAACTATATATATAGAGGCTGGTAGAGAATGCCATTCGGCATTAAGTCCGCCATTGTATACAGTTGTACATAAAGTGTTAAATAAAAAAAAAAAAAAAAAATATTACAGAATTGTATCGCTGTCGATTAAATCGAGAATATGGGTTATTTTATTGCATGCCACTGTTTACTTGTAATTGAAAATTCGCAAAAAAACTTCATCACAAATAAACTAACTAAATAAAATGTAATTATTGATCCTCTAACGAAGAACATAGCATATGACGTCACCGCAACTGCAAGGGCTAATGAAAACTTAGATCTTTAGAATTACGTACCATCAAACTATTAAATTTTGGTCAACTACAGTATTTGGAAACAGTATTTCACTCATAAACAGCAGTCTCCTTTGTAATAGTTCGTAAATAACCATTAAATATAATATTCTTGTTTAGTAATAAATATATAGTATATGAATATTATAATCACTAAATTACATATTTCTCTTCATTGATTCACGAATCAATAATTATGTTAGGTTCGAACTTATATTATTGGGCTCTTCGTATAAAGTTGTATCGATTTATATTATTTTGATTCTATATTGAATACTGTAATTTAGATATCGATTAATCATCTTAAAGCAATTCTTGGTGTTTTAATAACGTAGGTAATTAAATAAATTGTTAGAATTACTTATAGGTATAATGTTGACATTAATGGAAATGGCAATTTGGATCGAATGATACCGAACGGTCAATTTGGATGTGACAACTTTCCTGACTTACCCTCGTTGAACATGCGGCTGGATATAAACGCGAAGGTCTTTGACCAAATGTGCAAACGGTAGTTTGGTACCGGGAATAGCGTTTGTTAGGACACTTGTGTATGGCACGTTTCCTAAACAGTGGTTATTATACAATAAAAAAGGGGTATCATTTACATGACTACGGTCAAAACAACTACCAACAACGTTGTGTAGTCGACCACTATAACGTGAAAACATCTGACGTCATCGACGTCACAAGGATTGATAAGTAATACTGATGACACGATGACATTAATGACACAGTACACTGCCTACGGCGGTATGACGGCAGGGCAGTGTCTCTGTGTATGTCAACAAGCCCCCATATTATATTACTCTGACAGTAATCGTACCTACACACGCTGAATTTACGTTGGCTTAGCTTTTTACGCTGGCTGCAAGGACGTAAAAATAGTGTGAAATAAGCATTAGGCGGCTGAGATTCAAGTAAAGCAGCAAACGCTTGAGAGATGGCGTAGTAGGCTACGGCAGCCAGAGTTCCCACCCAAGCGTATTGTCGAAGCTATCCTGCTTCAATTCGAAGCCCGGCTGAAAAGAAAGGAATGCGTATCCTTCAGATTCAGTCAGGTGCTGACCACACATGGTTGCTCCGGTGAGTACTTACACGTGATGGGCCAAGAGGCTACGAAAAATTGCTACCAATGTGGTGGTAACCTGGATTTTGCTCAGCACACGCTTGAGGAGTCCCCAGCGTAGGTTTTTGAGCTGTAAATCCTGCAGCTGTAGCCAAATGCCATTTAGCGCTTGTCTACTTGTAGAATAGAAAACCAAACTATATGAAATTGACGTAAATTCACTTGTCAGTGTTATTCCCATGCATTTAGTTTTCTACTCTCTCGGTACATAAGCGCTAAAGTGGCGTTTGGCTAAAGGCACTGGTTACCAGGAGCAGATAAAACCTGTTTCAGATATATAACATTGGAGGATGTGACCTCCTTGTTTGCGGGATTGTAAAGTCCCAAAGGAGGTTGCCGTGCGGGATCGCTGATCCTGAGTTTAGGAGACATCGAGAGGCAGCAGCTTCGGTGCATCTCATAATGTGTCGAAATCCTGCCTGCTTGATGATGCAGCGGACATTAACGGTTGAGGGAATACAGTTTACTATGAGTGTAACTTCCCTGGAAGACGGTGACAAAATGGTCTCTTGCCGCTGTGGATAGTGAGGCTCTGGTTAGGTGCAAGTCTTTTTAAGACCTGAACTCAGTGGTACAATCCACGACAGGCGTTGCAATGCAAGGGCTCCGGAATTGTTCTATTGAGACGACCTCCTGTTCCTTGCAGTGGTGCGGGTGGTGCGCATATGGAGGTTTTTGTGAGGGAAGAATCTCAATCTCCCTCCACTCCACTCCCATATCTTTTCCCCCGAAAAGGTGGCTTTTACCGTAATTAAAGAAGTATAATATAATTCTTTCAATGTTAATCAATATCTTAATGTTTCCTGTGTATTTAAATAAATGTTTTTTAAATCTTAAATATTAATCATTATGTAACAATTTTAAAAGTAAGTGTTATTTATATGTTATGATGTTTACAAATATATGCTTACTCCATTATAAATCGTTAAATTGATTATAAAAGTTATCGCATACTTAACAAGCACGGCTCTGGCACGACTACAACCCAGTAATTAACGTCAATCTACAAAAGCTGTAGGCGAGCTGCCATTGCGCAGGCGGCGCTTTACAACCTTTTTGTTTTGTTTCCAAAGGAAAAATGTATATGTATGTCCATGTGTTATAAATACATTAAATAAAAAAACGCCGTTCTGGAGCTATGCCGGAGCCGTGTTTATTAAGAACTTTAGTAGTGTAGTAGTTGTGTTATGTAGAAAGTTTATCGCAATGTTTCATGTTTAATGTTCGAATATTAATTATAAATAATTGTTTTCAATATTCTGCGCTCGTTAAATTGTTATTAAAGTTGTTCACTCAATGGAACGTTTTTTTATTGATTAATCCTTTGTACGTTTTTTTATATACATATTTGATGGGGCGACGTTTGACCACTATCTGGCCTCGCCTGGTGGTAAGCGATGATGCGGTCTACGATGGGGCACGTCGTCCCATAAGCAACCTATTCACTCGGGCCTTGAAGACACCCAGATTATACCATTCAAGAAATACAGACTCTGGTAAAGAAGCAGCAATCCACTCCTTAGCAGTAAGTACAAGGAAGCTTGATGCGAGGATGCTTGCGTGAAAGTGGGATCATGAATCGGTGACACTTCGCCGATTGTCTTGTGGTACGATGATGGAAAGGATTAGGGGGAATCAAGTTATGCTATTCCCTCACTATTCCAGTTTGCTATTTGCAGTTGTAACTACATATTTATGGGTACTCCAACCAACAGCTATCATATTACTAGTACTTATGAGTAGGTACTCGTATTATCGAGGGTACTATAGGGTCGAGGGCTTAAATTCTTGTTTCATTAAGTCTTGTTAGGCTTTCATTAGTGTAATTGGCGGATCATGTGACGTCTCTTGCATAATTAATATGTTTGATTGCAATATATTGCAAATTGTTTGTGTACATGCCTTTACGATACGAGAGTAAATTGATGAACAAGGACCCTTGAGCAAGCATGGTAATTAATGTTCATACCGTTGTTCAATGAGATGAAGACACTGTTATTCAATAATGGTAACTTATAGGCTGTTGATGTATTTAATGTTTTGTTATACACGGTATATTAATGAAGATTAAATTAAGCCAACAGAGTATTGTACATTGGTTAGGCAGCCTTATGGTAGGTTTTCAAGTTTAAGTTTTTTGTTTATATATTTAATGGCCCGATGTTTGACCACTATTTCGCCTGATGGTAAGCAATAATGCGTGTGAGAAGAGGCCTTTGGTCAGCAGAGGCTTATAGGCCATTGATTTATTTATTATTCATGTACACATACAACACAAAGGAGAACACAATATATGAAAACGAGGTACATAGGTAGGTTGATGTGATGTGTGTGTGAACATGGTGCCTAAAGCTCATACCTTCTCCGTGTGAGAAGAGGTCTTAGTTAAATAGTGGGAACTTTTAGAATATTGATGAATGTTTTGTGTTATGTTATACACATTATTCCCATAGTTATAAGTTTGTCGTTACATGGTGGATAATACTAAAAAATACGCGACCAAATAAAACAATATTATTACCTAAATTGGCAGCTAGGGAATTACATTGTTTAATTTTATATTTTTATTAGTTCAACTAAAATCAGACTACAAAAGAAGGAAATAAGGTTGTAAATGGAACAGTAATATTATCTATTTTTATTACATAATTATAATTTATTTACAAATTTGTAGTTTCATAAGCAATAAATTAAGAAAATGAAAACAATAGTTGTCTGTCACACAAACTGTCGAAAATTACAATGCAGATAGTAAAACTATTATTATTAACTGATTGACTTCAAAACTATAACGTGTTTTCGTAAGAAACTGAACTTAAAAGACTTATTGAAACTACCGACTCTTAAATTCTCAAGCAGATGTTTCACTAATTCTGAGTCTCATTTTTATAATTATATTGTACAATAAAGTGTACCTACAATGATATTTTTTTTCTACATCTTGGCTTTCTTCAAATATTTAGTATGGCTATTACTCAAAATAAAAATAAACATTGAAACGATTTGAGAATTACTTAAAGCGGTGTTTTAACATATTCATGAAGTTAAACTTAGCAACAATTAGGTACGAATGTTGTTGTACAAAAATATTTATATTGCTATATCGTAGCAAGCTACGTTGCTAGCTACAAAGCTACGTCGTAGCTAGCTATGTAACTATGACTGGCTACATCGCTACGTCGTAGCATGCTGCTGGTTGGCGGCTTTCCAAGTATTTTTCAGGACAACAGGTAATTTTTTTTCAACATGTTACCTGGGCTTGAGGTAGAAAGATAGTACCTATACGCATTCGGATCTCAAGGACAAACATTAGTACAAAATACGTTTTAATGTGTTGCTTGATAAGTAAAACTTGTATCGATAATTTTGCTCACAATTTAAAAAACCATGTAAGACTGAAGTGCTAGAATTGGCTTTGTTAGATCATACATCACAGAATGATGTTCCCTATTAGGAGAGTATCTGTAATTAAGATATGGAGAAAACGAACTCGTAATTTTTGTGATGAAAAAATAGTGATATTTATGAGATGTCTTGGAATGTCTTAGTAATTACTCATTCTTTGAGGTATATGCAGAAATTAACCCCAACAGAGCATACAATTTCTTTATCGAACATTTCGAACTTTTTTCCAACCTTTTTTCCATTCAACCTATCACCGTACATCTGTGGTACACCTAAACAGAAAACAAAAATGGATATCTCGTGGAATAAAGAAATGCAGTGTCAGAAAGTGATAGCTATTATGGAATCATAGATTGAAACTATCAATTAAAACAAAAAACATGTTTATACATACTCTAAATTATTTTAAAATAAAAATTAGAAATTAAATCCTCTGACAATAAATGTAAAGCTACGTGGCAGATAATAAATGATTCAAGATTAAACATCCCAAGTGACATTATAAATAATGAAGTTTAACAATACAATTTCTGATCCCAACGTTATGACCAAAGCCTTTTATAATTACTTTATTGATAAAATAGTACCCATATCTAGTCGTGGCAAAAAAGTAACATCGCGGATTGCAGGCACGATTAATTTTATTTTGATGGCTCCATGTGTACCAAAAGACATACAAAAAAATATTTCCGAGCTGAAAAATACTAACGGCATAGGTTTTTTATTTATTATTAATATAATAATCTATAATCTGTAACCGACATATGTATTTGTGGCCATTTGAGTTTTAGGGAACAGAGAGTATAGTTCCCTAAGATCGGAAAAGGAGGATCCTCCGACCAGGCGAGGTGATCGTGCCTGGCGGGCTTTCTGCCCAACAGTTGTTCGTTGGGATTTTCTATCCATGTTTATTCGCTTGTAAACTTTACATGTGCGATGTAGGATTCTTGTGACGTCATCCGTTGACATGTGGCACGCGTCGCCACATCACTCCCTCCCAAGACCGGAGGTCGATTCCGCTGAGACTGCTGTCGATGCTTGAGATGAGTGGCGCCAGAGCCAGTGTAGAACGTCCCTAGTTCCAGTGGGTCGGAACCGTGCCGCTGAGTGCCCAGTGAGTCGGGTCAGCGGTGCAGGGTGAAACTCCAGTGAGTCGGAGAGATGCGTTCGCAGTGTCCCACGGTGGGTCGGGGAAGAGATGCTGCGAGGGTAGGTGCGTAGTGGCCGGCATCTGCGTTGACGGGAGGAGGTGTCCTTCAGACCGTGTGCAGAAGTGCTGTGCCTAGACGCTAGTGAGGCCGTAGGGGAAGAACCAGGCTGCACAACTTCGTTGCAGGTAATGGTGGTCCCTGATGAGGCCGAGGATGCTGGTTGGCTGCGACTTGGTTACCGCTCAGCGGAGAAGTGATGAATGAGAGGGATGGCGATACGGATGACGGTGCTAATCTGCTCCGTGAAGTGAAGGTTGTTTCCAATCACGTCGGGGTCACCACTTTAGGGAACAGAGAGTATAGTTCCCTAAGATCGGAAAAGGAGGATCCTCCGACCAGGCGAGGTGATCGTGCCTGGCGGGCTTTCTGCCCAACAGTTGTTCGTTGGGATTTTCTATCCATGTTTATTCGCTTGTAAACTTTACATGTGCGATGTAGGATTCTTGTGACGTCATCCGTTGACATGTGGCACGCGTCGCCACAGAGTAATCTTTTAAACTTATGCATTAGTAAGGTTGTTTTTCCTGATAATTTGAAAAGAACTATTGTAAAATCACTGTATAAAAGGGGTGATAAAGAACTATTACAAGCCTATAGACCTATTGATCTGACAGGGCCGGATTTAGGGGTCCAGAGGCCTCGGGGCAACAAAGGAGTGGAGGCCCCCTTGCCCCAAATTATTTTCCATATTGAGATCGAGGACGCTCGATAGATATCGAGGACGCTCGAAAACGATCGAGGACTCTCGATAGATTTCGAGGACGCTCTAAAACAATCGAGGACGCTCGATTGATTTCGAGGACGCTCGAAACCAATCGAGGACGCTCGAAAACGATCGAGGACGCTCGAAAACGATCGAGGACGCCCTATAGATTTCGAGGACGCTCGAAAACAATCGAGGACGCTCGATTGATTTCGAGGACGCACGAAAACAATCGAGAACTCTCGATAGATTTCGAGGACGCTCGAAAACGATCGAGGACGCTCGATTGATTTCGAGGACGCACGAAAACAATCGAGAACTCTCGATAGATTTCGAGGACGCTCGATAGATTTCGAGGACGCTCGAAAACGATCGAGGACTCTCGATAGATTTCGAGGACGCTCGATTGATTTCGAGGACGCTCGAAAACGATCGAGGACTCTCGATAGATTTCGAGGACGCTCTAAAACAATCGAGGACGCTCGATTGATTTCGAGGACGCTCGATTGATTTCGAGGACGCTCGAAACCAATCGAGGACGCTCGAAAACGATCGAGGACGCCCTATAGATTTCGAGGACGCTCGAAAACAATCGAGGACGCTCGATTGATTTCGAGGACGCTCGAAAACAATCGAGAACTCTCGATAGATTTCGAGGACGCTCGAAAACAACCGAGGACGCTTGACTGATTTCGAGGACGCTCGATAGATTTCGAGGACGCCCGATAGATTTCGAGGACGCTCGAAAACGATCGAGGACTCTCGATAGATTTCGAGGACGCTCGAAAACGATCGAGGACTCTCGATAGATTTCGAGGACGCTCGAAAACAATCGAGGACGCTCGATTGATTTCGAGGACGCTTGATAGATTTCGAGGACGCCCGATAGATTTCGAGGACGCTCGAAAACGATCGAGGACTCTCGATAGATTTCGAGGACGCTCTAAAACGATCGAGGACGCTCGATTGATTTCGAGGACGCTCGAAAACAATCGAGAACTCTCGATAGATTTCGAGGACGCTCGATAGATTTCGAGGACGCCCGATAGATTTCGAGGACGCTCGAAAACGATCGAGGACTCTCGATAGATTTCGAGGACGCTCGAAAACAATCGAGGACGCTCGAAAACGATCGAGGATGCTCGATAGATTTCGAGGACGCTCGACAGATTTCGAGTTTAAGAATTGAAGAATACCAATTGTTCACATACTGCAATTAATTTTTTTAATGGTCGAGACACGGAATCGAAATCAGTCAAATTGTATTTTTTTTTATGAACCCAAGATTGTTTATGATCAACAATAGCAGATATATTTCAAAATATAAGTATGTACTATAATTTTTTTTTCTGCAAATGTAATAACGTAAGTCCAGATATATCTGAACAATTTCTTAAAGGAAGAAGAAAAATGCAGCAACTGAGATCTGTATAGATCAAGATAGATCGTCGTCGGAACACAGGATCAGGTGATCATGTGCTCACCGGAAAGTTATAAATTATACATCCTACTGTTTTAAAATAAAACCTAAGAAGCAAAGAGAAATGTAGGTTTTACAAAACAATCTTCTTTCTTAATACCATACCTTCAAAATTTTGCTGTAATGGACGGGCATATTCTGTTGACAAAAATAACTTAACTTCCATAAATAAAAATAGGTTGCGTCAAAGGAGGTTAAGGAGGTTGCTCCTTAACCATGCGACTTATGTCTCGAGCATTAAAATGATTTCCAATAAAAATAAAAAAGTATGCTGGCAACAACATTGATTAAATTTGTAGTGGAATTACGCTGTCTTACAAATAAATATAAAAAGACGCTGGAATCTTCCATAAGGGTGCTTACATAAAGAAACAGTTTTGTGAGAGTAGAC